TAAAGTGATAATAATAAGCTGAAGATAATAAAGTGATCATGCTAACGATACCACCTGTTGACAGAATTACATCATGTATGAAATATGATCTAGGCTCTACCTTTGCCCACTCCTGTCTGGTTTTATTTTTCTGACGCTTTTAATCCCTACATTAATGGAGAAGAGGAAGGATAGTTTTTTTGCTGTTTTATTTTTAACATGTAGATGTTTATTTTGAAAATGACAGGAAATAGAGTGTTGATGCTAAACAGCTTGACAAAAGCCAACAATTTAGGAACACACCCCTAATTGTTCCGGGTGGGTTACCATGTGATATTTTAAAAAAAGTAAATATAAAAAGCATTATGAAAAGAGGCCAATAATCACATGGATTTTATTTACAAAAATAAACGAACACTCTCGAGCAAAAATTATATTTTTTGTTTCATAATTCCAGCTGATAGAACTGCAGTTCTATGTGTTGGCCACCGGGTGGTGCTAATGAAGGATTTTCTGAAATCCAGCACAGAGGGGCAATGAGGAAGAAACGGCAGTTGAGCCTGGATGAAGGCAGCAGGAGTAAAACTATACAGGTGAGACAGAATAATAAAAAAAACAACTTTAAGATTTAGGTTTATTCGACTTTTTTTTTCTCTAAATAGAAACAGTTGATTCTATATTATATTGTTAGTATGGTATTTTGACTGCAGTTCGTGTTATCCGAATTATTTAGACAGTTAGAATAACATTCATGACTTTATTAAACCAAAAATATTTAAACATGTATGAAAACCAGAAACAACCTTAAACTCTGATACCTCCTTAAATCTTTAATATTAGGAGTCATTCAGCATAGGGCGGTGGTAGTGGGAAGTTTAGTAGGTTTTACATTTAAAAGTAGCGAATTCAACATTAAATCTCCCCTTGTATCTGTGCAGGTTAAAGAGCAACATGAAGTGTCACCGATTATAGAGTAATTAACAAGCCTTTAGCAGTCAGAGAACTAGCATATGCTAAAACTAACGCAGTTTACTGTCTCATGTTAAACAGGAAGTACTTTTTTTTTTTTTTACTGCAAAGAGTCAGAGTTTGCAGTGCTGAAATATTGAACCTGTTTTTTTTTTTTTTTTAACAAATCAAGAGTTAAATCTCTTTCTACGGGTCCAACATGTCAACATCATGATCTTTGTGCGATTTGTTTATCTGCTAAGAAGGATCCAGAAAGTGTATAGAAGTTGCTATTTATTCATGCCAGTGTTCCTGGCAGTACTAATGATACCCTTATTTGTTTTCCTCTCTCACCAAATCATTGTTTAGATATTTCAAAGATTAAGATTAGGATTAAATACCTTTATGTTTTTTTTTTTTTTATGTTCCTGTCCTTGATTCTTTCATTCCGTCCTTGCAGTAAGGCCATTATCCACAATTACTGCCTAACCATTGAGAAAGATGCAATAACATGCTGCCAAGATTGAGCAAACTCTGTACTGGTGGTACTTTTGTTTATATTTTAGGTGCATGTAAATGTATTGAAACCCCCCAAAACTCTTTGTTTCAGTAGAAATGTATTAGGGAATCATTTCTTAATTTCAGTGGCTGAAATGAAAAAAAGAAAAAAAAAGAAAAGAAAAAAGAAATGAGTCCAGGCTTGGATGTTGCACCCACCAAACCCAAAATATTTAACCTCCTGTATGATGACAAAACCAAACTAGGGCTGGGCAATAGACTCTAACTCTGATCAGGTTATTTTGTGGTGCTATCATCAGAACAATAAAAGTGAGGATGAAAAAATAATCCTTACTTCTTTACAGTTCTTATTTAACTGTATGGCTGTGTCTACATGCCAAAGCAATGATAGCTCCACTAATATCTGCTGCTGAAAACTACAGATTTAAAACTGGCTTCTTTAGGACACCAGTTAAATAAAGAAGAGTGATTTTTATCACAGCGACCACATTTAATAATATTCTTCAAATTTGTTAATCCCCCAAAGGAAAGAAAAACAAAAGAAAAAAAAAAATCATAATTACTCTACTTTCTAAATTTTTTTTTTAACATTATTTATTTTAATTTATCAATTAGACGATAAATCAAAATTCTTATCAAGATGAGAAATTTATCGCAACATCAATATTCGATTGGACAAATGCCCACCTTTAATTTTGACTGTTTTCAGCCCAGAATAAAGACGCTAATTCATTTCTTTTTCTCACTAAGGTCCATTTGTTTTTATCTTTCTATTCAGAATTGAACAAAATCATCATATTTACCCAGATCATTGCCTAATGTTTATTCATGCTGTTTCTTTCTGGGGACTGAAACAACTCAGAAATTATTTCTGATCTTTTCAAGATCTTTGTCCTGTATTTGTACCTGTATTTTAGTTTTTCTTACTGGCTATAAAACTTTCTTGTCTTTATACGATCCTTCCTGCCTGTTTAAGGGCCCCGTCAGGCTCAGAGAGTGGAGTAAGGACTCCAGCGGTCGTCCACATGACAACATGATGGACCCTGAAGTGTCCATTCTGCTTGACTGTGCACAGTGGAGGGGGCTGCTGGAGGACCAAGTCCAGGTGGAGCTTTCTGACAGGTACATTGATCTCCTCTGCTTTTTAAGAAAAGATGGTTTATATTAGAGCTTAAACTAATTGGATTAATCCTGATTAATTGATATTGAAATAATCATCAACTAATTTAGTAATTGATTCATCATTAACTGGAGAATACAGACTCTAAAAGATCCCTGTAGCTGACCGAACAACTCACTTAAAGTGGTAAATATAACAGAATTGTAAAAAAAAAAAAAAAGATAGAGCATATTGACAGAAGTCAATATGCTCTATCCAGAACTCCTAAAGTGTAAAGTTAGTTTCCCTGGGTTAGATTCTGTAAAAAAAACTTATTTAAGGAACCTTTTGATATCTCATTATTAATCGATTAATCAAAAAACCAATCAACAGATTAATCGATTTGCAAAATGCAAAATAATCATTAGTTGCAGCTCTAGTTTATATTTTCCTTCAAAGTAGGCTGATTATTCTTGCATTTGTAAATGGGTCCTGGCCAGAAGTCTTGCTTTGGACTTTAGCTGCTTTTTTCACTCAATAAAATAGTTTGTATACATGCATTAAATTTAAGTTGATTTTCTTATTATCAAACCAGTTTTTTTTTTAAATAAAAAAAATAGTTCTTTCAGATGGGATTAATTTCAAATACCTGTATAGGCACATCATGAAAACCTAACTTGTTTTCATGATGAACCTAAACATGAATTTGAAGTGTTAATTATTCCAATAAACATGATGATAACAAAATTTAAGTTTATCTTTATTTTTGTTGAAATACTTTTTTTTAGATATTTTGTATAGAGTTTATCTGTTTGTAGACATCATGAAGCAGTCTTGTCGACATGTAATAAAGCGTCGGATCTTTGGGCCTTTTGTTTTCAGCAGCCTAGAATTAAGACTCAGTTTGTTCCTTTTTCTTTAGCTAAACCTGATAAAATCTGATGAAATGTTGAATAACACTAAGACTTTATAATGACTGACTCCTTCTTCCCTCAGATTCAACAGGCAGACAGATCCTCTTCTTGAGCAGCACATAGGTGAAGTTTGGACGCAGCGGCTTACCAAGGAGCCGTGGCTTTTCAACGGGGCCAAATTCAGGCTGCATTCCTTCCGCTTGGCCTCTCCAGAACGTCTGCACTGTGATGGCTCTGACGGCCACCTGTGTGAACAGAGGAGGGATGGTGCCGCAGAGGGGGACCATGTTGATATCAATGGTGGGTGTCTAGTTCAGTCAGCAGATAATGGAGGCTTCAATGAGAAGCCGTCCCCCGCCATGTCGCGGGGCGCTGCTGTTCGCCATCACCCTAGTTCCCTTCTCACCCTGAGGCTGGGCCTCACCTGCTACAAGGACTACCTGGGAACAAACTGGTCGTGTAAGGTGGCAGAACTCCGTCGCCGTGGCCAGAAGGAGTTTGGTGACTCTCTGGCTCTGCTGGCTCAGCCGCTGGGTGTGGGCGCCGTTTTGTGCACATGCGACGGTCAGGTGGTGTTCATCAGGAGGAGCCAGAAGGTGGCAGAGGCAGGGGGGTTGCTGGACATTCCCGGCGGCCACCCAGAGCCAAAGGTGATGCTTAATGAGTGAAGTTGTTTAAATGCGCCGTCTGAGGCTGTGTTTCACAAGTTGCTTTTGTCTGCAGGCCGTGTGTGAGCGGCAGGGTGAGGCAGGGGAGCACATCAGCATGGCAGTGATGCAGCAGAGGCCGGACGCCGTCGTCTCAGAGCTGTTCTCCTCCGTGTGCGCGGAGATCAGGGACGAGGTGGGTGGTGCCACACTAGTCTCCATGTTTGATGCAGACTGAGCAAGGGAAGTGGAGTTAAAGTCACTAATCAAGCATAAATATCAGTAGGGGCTGAGATCAGAATGGTTTGAGTGCAGTAAGGTACAAAAAAAACAAAGCAAGTCATTTTGAAATAATTTTAAGAATATATATAATGCTTGGTAATTTTATGGCACATAATGCTATAGTGGTCGGATGGAATCTGCTAAAAACACAGCACTGTCATAGTGGATGGATCAGTCGGTGGAACTGATGGTTGGACAGAGACACAAAGACAGGGGTTAACAGGAATTCTCTACTCTTCTTTTTTTTATCCTGACCACATAACAGCTTTAAAGATCCCAGCTGCCTTAGGATAAAAAACATGGATGTTCATCTGGTGAACTGGGGCCTCTCCCTTAGAGCATGTAGTTAGGTTGTGTCGGTTTATTCAGCGCTAGCAACCGTGAGAACTACTTTTATGAATTAAATTTGTTCTTTTAAAATACTCCATTCACAGACAAGCAAGGTCATAATATAATAATAATAATAATAATAGACACACAGTTTAGGTAAATATTTGTTAATTAAATCCAACCTGTCTTGTCTGTAGGTCAATGTCCCTCTTAGCTGCCTTGGCGCTCCAGTGCTGATGGGCATCGCTCTAAACCACACCAGCGCCGGACGGCCAAGCGCAGAGTTCTACATCAGGTAACATTTTTATTTTAGAGGGACGTGCTTTGTTGGTCAGTGTTTAGTGCACACGACCCATGTACAGAGGCCTTAGTCCTTGACGTTTGAATCCGACCTGTGGTTTTTTTCCGCATCTCTCCCCCTCTCTCAGACCCCCTTTCCTGTCAGCCTACTGCTGAAAAAATGCTGTAAAAACTCAAAAAAGAAAAAAACTCAAAAAAGAAAAAAACAAATGATATTTTAATCCATCATTTAACCTGGTTAAGTATGTCTGTCAGAAAAATATCACTTACATAGCCTAATCATAAGTAAAACATTACAGTTGGAAAAAATATATATATAAAGGTAAATTATCTGTTTTTTTAAAATACTTAAACTTCTCCAGATATGACCACTAAAGCCTAATAGATCCATGAACCTCGGGCCACATTTTTAACAAGAATTCTTTTATTTTTTTGTAACTCTGACTTGTTTGCCTTCTTAAAATTTTTCCAGCGTTTTATTGTCATTACACTGTCATAAGTACAGAGCAAAGAAATTTACTCTGCATTTAACCCATCCCCTCGGGGAGCACTGTGCTGCCATTGTGCGACCCTCGGGGAGCAGTGTGTGGGATAAGGGTCTTTTGCTCAGAGACCTAGAGTGGAAATCCGTGGGAGTGGGGCTTGAACTCAGAACCACAGGATTAGATCCTAATGCCCCAACCTGTAGGCCGCCACTCCCCAAAGCAGGCATTAGCGTGAAGGGTCTTGCCTAAGGACCCAAACTGGCTGCTCATTCCCCCCAGGCTTCCTGTTTGCAGGACGGGTGACTTCCCACTTGTGCTAGCCAGCTGCTACCATTTTTGCAAATATTGATTAGCTGTTATCTTATCAGAGCGTCCACTGAGATTGCCATGCTATTGGCCTACAACATGTAGATGGAGTGCATGGAAGATGCATTAGAAAAAAACAGATTATAGAAGTTGTTTAATCAACTGTTGAGGCTGCTGTGTGTTAATCCTACGCAGCGACACCAGCTAGATGTAGTTCTGAGTTGTATCATTGAGGTGAAACCGACCTCCCTATAAAACCAATAGTATCAAACAAACATTTGGGTCAACCCTACCAGGAGACAAGATGGTGTGACACAGACCCAGTAAAATCTGTTATAGCAATTAGCGGTAATCTTTGGGAATGTTCATTGTTTCAGATTAGTGAGCTAATCAAATTACTATACTATACATTACTATATTTGCTAACATTTAGTCACCATCTCTGTGTTCTTAGCTGTTCTCTGTCTTCTGATGAAGTCAGAAAGCTGTACTGGGAAGGAGGAGCAGAGGCCAACGAGTCCACAGATGTGGTCTTCCTCAGCAGAACGGTCAGTTCAACTCAGGATCCATTATGTAATTTCCTCCTTCAGCATGAAGATGCATTAAAAAAAAAGATTGCAGAAGTTGTTTCAGCCTGGTTTCATGTGTTGCAGGAGGTGTTGCAGCTGAACAGAAGCAGCCCTCTGTGGTCAGAGATGTGTCCGTCGGCTAAAGGAGCCATTCTGCTCTATCAGACAGTGAAGCCAGAGAGGAAACAAAACCACAGAGAGGAAAAATGACCAGAGGGGAGCATTGGTGTTAAAAGTCTATAAATGTCTTATCTCTGTACTTTGTAAATAAAACTGTTAAAATTATTAAAATTGTTTGAAAATAATATCTTCTAGATCCATTTTCTTAAAAAAAAAAATCCAAACATCTTCTATAAGGAGAAGTCCGGTCAGCAAGGAACAATAAATGGATCATTATTTATACCTAAAATTAATGTGTTTGCAGTGATTTAATGAATTTAGCGTTAGTGTGTAAAAAAATAAATAAAAACAATCTTCGTCACGATCAGTCCTGGACCGGCCATTTTTGCCCAAACATAACACCTCACCCCTGACATCTTCCGGCAGTGACGTCACGGTGCAGTAAACCTAGCGGCAATCTTCCGACTTCACAAGCAAAATCAATGGGAACTACTAGACACATCTGCAATCAACAATGGGCTCTATGCACAGCTCCACTACTTCCTGAATTTAAGGCAGCTCCTTTGTTTCCTGTCTTTCATTACTGGACGAACTGATTAATCCAGGTGTGTCTGGCCAGTTACTTAGGTCATACACACTTGGATTAATTAGTGCATCCAATCATGAAAGACAGGAAGCAAAGGAGCCTCCTGAAGTTCAGGAAGTGGTGGAGTTGTGCATAGCGCCTATTATTTAAGATTTCGTGAAGACTTCACCATTCCAATTAGCAAGTGCTATAGTTAAACTGACAATGCCCACCTGCATGGCAGTTGGATGTTGTAATACATCGGGGAAAAAAAAGAAAAAAAAAAAAACTTTGGTTATTTCACCTTTCCGATTCATGATCCTCCAATGATGGGTTGTTGGTTGTTTCCAAATGGAAGAGGGAAAATTTGCCCAGAGAAAAAACATATTAAATGTAGCCAATATTTTGAAGAATGTCTTCAAGATGACTTAAATAATAGCGCATTGGGACAAAAACCAGATACAGCACTGGGACTTGATCAACAGCCGATATCGCACCGTAACTTCACAAACCAGTAGGTGGCAGTAGTGTTCTTTGACAAACATGGATGTCTCCAGTAAAGCACATTCAAATGAAATTACACTGAATTAAAAACAATTATTTATTGAACAGTATGTAATAATCTCATATTTAAAGTTCTTTCAGAAGTTTGAATTCTGAATATGACCAGACTTCTCCTTTAAATTGTACTTGGCAACATTAAACCAGTTTGTCAGAAAATCCAAAGTGGGAAAGAGGCTTGTTTTTTGTGTGTGGGCTCTTTGTTCAAGCCAGAGAAACCCACAAGAGCTCAATCTCTACAAAGATTAGATCCTCCTGCAGTCATCCGTAGTGGAAAGGTGCTAATGTTAGCCTGCTTTGCTATCGACACTCGACCCTCTATTCCACTACAAGAGGGGATTCCAACATTCAGGGACTCACCTGCAGGCAGTCTTTAAGTGTTGCTGTTTGTGTAACTTTATAATGTAGCACAGGGGTTCCCAAACATTTCAGCCTCTGGCCTCAAAAATAACAGACCAGAAACCCTCAACAAATACATATTCACTTAATTACTTCCCTCAATATTTAATTATACATTAATAAAGTAAAATTTGATTATTTAATTGTGCATTTTATACAATTCAGTTCCGTTTGAACAACTGAATGTTTTATATAAATACAATTTACATCTATTTCATGAGACTCACTCAAACTATATATTTTGGCCATCAAATTATTTGGAAAAGCATCCTGTGAGCCCCACTTCCAGAACCCGTGGTGTAAGAGACTGGAAATCGCTAAAAGTTAATTGGTCCCCTGCTAAAGTTACTAACATCAACATGACAACACACAAAGACAAATCAAATTCTTGTCAGTACCTTTGTAGGTAAAAAAAGATGCAAAAAGGCACCAGCTGCATTTTATTTTTTATACCCTAAAAAATATTAGACATGAATATAAAGTCAATTTCAGAAAGATTGTAGTAAAATACCAGGTCAGGACTTTGTATCCTCTGCAGAAGGTAAGGGCTGACTTAAAACAACAGTGCACGAGATCTCACGTCTCAGACTAATGCTTTCCTCCCATTAGATGATGTAGAATTAGAAGGTTGTGATGCTTTCCTATATAAACAGAATCATCTGCTGCTGATTGCTTAGTCAGATCCCAGCATCACATCCATTGCTTTACTTCCTAACCCAGGGTTTATAATTAGTCATTCATGCATTTTATTCTGTGGCTTTCTCGTCACCAGCTAAAGAACAAAAATAAACTGTTTCAATCTTTTTTTCAATAAAAATATTTATAAAATGAGGGATGCCTGGTGATTTTCGGCCTGTGGTCTGCCTAAATTCTCTGCAGCGATTCATATCAGAAAATATCCCAAGTCCACAGATGCAGCTGCCTCGTTTTTATCGTCCCATGTTAACTCAGGAGTAACTCTGGTATCCGCTGTAACCAACATTTCTGCTGTAGTCATAGTTCTCCTGTTGATAAGGCGGGGGCCACTGAAAGGAAAGTTAAAAGAAAGAAAAGTTGGTTGTTAGACCCGAGGACTGGCTGGTTGTGCAGCAGCCAAAGCATTGTCTATGACTGAACTAGAATTACCTTTAGAACTCATTCATTTTACCTTATTTTTAAACCTCTACATATAAATGGCAAAAAACAGGCTGAATAAAATAATATATTCAGAACTGAGGCCAAACTTTAGCCTTTAATTATGTAAGACATATTTTACCATAATTTGTGCCATATCTAAGCCTAATCCTTAATGGTGATTTGTTGTTGACTTGTCTTGCTGCAAGGCGGCATTGCTACCCATTGTGCCGTCCTAATTTATATATATTAATCTGAGAATTATTTTCCTGCCCTCATTTGCAATGTGTTTACAGACTGATATAGAAGATTGAGCCAGTTTGCCCAAGTAGTGGCAGCTGGAATGAACAGCCAACAGACGTTTGTGTACAACACAGTTCATTTCTGGCTCTGTTCACTTGTGGTGCATTCAGTGACCAGAAAGGATGTTAGATTTTTGAGCTTCAGGTGAGTAAGTCAAGTTGCATACAGACAATGATCCCCAACCTATATCACAGTGAATCCTTTCAAATATGGACATGTATATCATATTGAACATTTTAATATTTATCCATTTTTTTTATAATCCTTTCTGCCCTAAAAAAACTGACCTTAAAGGAATAGTACACCCAAAACATGATTAGCCTTCATTTTCTACTCACCCCCATGCTGAACAACACTCTGGAGTACTTTTTTGATATCTCAAATGCATCTGGAGATCTGGGAGACTTCTTGCTGTCTGCTGACATTCAAATAATGGAGGTCTATGGCGCCCGAGGCAGAAAGGTCCATAAAAGTCCACAAAAAACGTGTCAATATTCCTCCATACTGCTCGTCCAATGTATTCCAAGTGTCCTGAGTGGGTAGCATCCAGAATTTACTCGAAACAAAGTCATTTAGAATGTTTTTAGAGCATAAACAGTAGTGTATAGGATTTCCTGAAAGCGCGCACATGCGCGATCACGACGCTACGGAAGCCGGCAGACCAAACCAGACGAAAGTGCGCATTCAGCGTCTGCTCTGCCCATAATGCAAGCGTAGAAGAAGAAATGTGCTGTTTACCTGTGCAAAGAAAGAAACAACGAAAGAAAAATGTCTGAGGACTTCAGTGTTGAGGAAGAGCATGAGTTCTTTGCCGAGCTGAATGCGCACTTTCATCTGGTTTGGTCTGCCGCGGTTTCCGTAGGCTCGTGAACGCGCAGGCTCGCGCTTTCAGGAAATCCTATACACTACTGTTTATGCTCCAAAAACATTCTAAATGACTTAGTTTCAAGTAAATTCTGGATGCTACCCACTCAGGACACTTGGAATACATTGGACGAGCAGTATGGAGGAATATTGACACGTTTTTTGTGGACTTTTATGGACCTTTCTGTCTCGGGCGCCATAGACCTCCATTATTTGAATGTCAGCAGACAGCAAGAAGCCTCCCAGATCTCCAGATGCATTTGAGATATCAAAAAAGTACTCCAGAGTGTTGTTCAGCATGGGGGTGAGTAGAAAATGAAGGCTAATCATGTTTTGGGTGTACTATTCCTTTAAGTCCTGATGGTAATCTTTTAATATTATTTGATCGCATACATATTTCATTTCTAATGGAGGTTTGACTGGTTAGTACAAGTGTGTAAACCAAAACAAATCAAAGTTATCAGCAGTTAAAGAAGCCGATTTTTTTTAATCACTAATTTTGAACACAGAACAAAATATTTTTTTCACTAAATCAAAAATTTAGTTAGTCGTCAAACAATGAACATCTTTAAGCTAACATATGAACAAAAAAAACTCACATGTCGCGGCTGCTGGCTCCACGACTGCAAGTTACTTCTAGGGTCGGCCCAGCCTTCAAAGACAAACAGACAAAAGATGAATATCAGCCAACACTTTGAACCAATATTTCTCAAAAAACAAAGTTGTCAGCATATGAGGCTAACCATGGACTGCTGTCCACTGCTTCCTGTTTGGAGGCCACTGAAAGTGACGCCTTTTTTTGTACGATTTGGGTTTCTTGTCTGGTTTGATGACGGGGGGCAGCAGTCTGTGAGCCTCCTGTTTGTACTCCTTCAGGAGGATCTGAGCCTGCTCCTGCAGCAGCTCCACATACTCCAACTCCTCCATCAGGTCAGGCTGTAGCTCTGGAAAACTGCAGCTCACTGAAGACGACACAAGACAGCAGATATCTTTGCTGTGTCTGAACAGGCAAATAAAGATCCGACTATCAAGCATTTCTACTCCTGGTTAAAGGAACTTATATGCATTTTGTGTGCTGCAGCACAATATACCCTTTTATCCAATAAAGAGCAAGCAAGTCAAACCTTGGAGTTTGAGCAGGGCGGTTTGAGGGATGTGCACACCATCAGTCATTCGATGCTGAAGCAGCCGTCGCTTCCACTCATCTGCAGGAGGGAAGACCACCACCACCTTCCGTCTGAAGCCTGCAAACAGCTGCAGCTTGTGCCGACGTGCAGAGAAGAGGATGTTGCACTGGGAAAAAAACAAAATGTGTTAAACCACCCATTCACCATTTAAACAGTGAGTTTTAATTCTCAGGTCATGCTCCGAGTTACCTGGTCGAGGATGTAGTTTCCAGGCGTCTCGGCAGCGACCTTGATCAGATCGGTCAGACACTGGGAGGCCTGTTGCAGCCTGCTGTCACTCTGACCACCATTCTGTACAAAAGCATGCAGGTGATAAAGATCAGCTGCTCTGCAGTGGATCAATCTCTGAAAATGCTAATGCAAAGAGAAGCTGAGGTTTTAACTGACAAGCATACAAGAAAGCAGCTCCTCTGTTCCCAGCAGTCTGTACTTCTTCTCTGGATGCTGCTTCATCAGAGTCTGAGCCCAGAAGCTCTTCCCAGAACCAGGAAGCCCTACCATCATCACCACCTGCAGGGGCAGAAAGATCACAACTGAAAATCCTTATTTAGGACAGAAAAGGTCTCAACATGGTGGACACCGAAGACTAAATGCTCCAGAATAAAACACACATTCTGGTAAAACCTTTAGGCAGGACAAAGAAACTGGTACAAAACCTTTTCTTGCTATAACTTCGAACAAGGTTTCATCTGTTTCAAACAAAGCTTCATAAAATTCTGAGAAGTTCAGCTTCAAGGAGACAGGAAATGCTGAAAAAAGCTCCAAAAACTCCCAAGGATTTAAACGTCAATAACAAAAACCAACATCTAACCTCACACTGCGCTTTGGAAGTAGGAGCTGCTGTGACACGTTCTCTCTGACCAGCAGCGAGCGCCGCCAGTGATGTAAACCCCGGCGGTCCTGGGTACCACCAAGGGGCTATGGGGTCCAGAAGCAATCGGACTGAGCAGTTCTGACAGAGAACATGAGGAACCAAGACTTGAGCACGGAGAGCAGAGGCACTCAGGGCAAAAGCTCGACCCAGGAGACGACCGTTCTTGTGGAAAAACAGCTCAACAGCGCCATCCGTAGAAAAAGACTGTGGTTTTGAAAGTACAAACAAGAAACACAATTAGGAAGAATTAAGAAAATCAACCCAAGCACCATTAAAAATAGAGAAAATGGAAAAAGAACCAACAGCATAACAGCCAATGATGTCGCCCTCAGACAGAGGCTCACCGTACTCCTCTTCGTTTCCACCAGATACTTTTTTACCGCGGGAGTCATAAGCAAACGAGAGCTCATCCTCTCCTAATAAGAAACACAGATGACTGCAGCTAAATGTCTTTCAACAAACTTCAAATGAAATCAGATCAAATTGAGCCAATCCTTACCCAGCAGCAGAGAGGACTCTCCTCCTGACCAGCCCACTCTCAGTCCATACGCCTGCTTGGCTTGTAGGGCTTCTGGCTCTAGATTCGTCAACTTTCTCTCCAGCCGAACCTCAAAGCCCACCCTGCCCTGCCGCACGCCGTGGCTGAGCTTGCAGCCAGACCACAGCAAGGGGAACCGGTCCCAGAACCGTGGCTCCCCACAGGATCCATCAGAGCTCACTTTAAAGTGGAGGTGACAGCCATCTGTGGGAATGACAATCAGAGTCTTAACAACATTTCTAGGAGAACTACAGAATAATGGACCCAAGTCTGGACTCACATGGATCTAATCTAACTTTATCTTCATCCAACTCCTCTTCCTCTCCCTTGCCCTGTGGAGGCTGAGGTGATTTGCATCTGAAAAAGAAAAATAACAGGCTGTCAATTTAAGACACTTTGTAGTCTGAGTGATACAAAAAACTGGAACATGAACAGAGTAAATAGAAATACAAACAATCCAAGGAGTAAAACAGCTACAAGCTGAATATCATAAACACATTTCTGGATGAGGGTAAAATCTCACCCAGATTTTATTGACCTAAGACAGCAAATCCTTCCTGAGTTTTATTCTGATATTAGCAGAACAGCAAAACAGTAATAATTCAAAGTACTGTAATAATATTTAAAGGGAAACTACTATAACTCTGTTTTCAATTCTGTGCTATGCCATTAATCCCAATAAATCAACACATAACTAATTTTAAACCTGTTTCATTAAGTTAATTTATTTTAACACTTATGAAAGGGTCAATTTAAGTGCATTTATTATTAAATTAACTCATTAAAGATCGTGTTAGTTTTATTTACACTGGTTTGATTTCATTACATCTTAAATTGTATCCTAACAGGAGTGTTTCTTCTTCTTCGTTAGATTGGCGGATTGCAAACAACGTAAAGGTGCATACCGCCACCTACTGTTCATTAGTGTGTAGCTCTATAGTTTAACCTACTATATTATTTATTATTTAACTGTGTTTGTTTCTAATGATTAACCTTTTGTATCGTATCTCCTCCTTGAACTCGTAGAAAGCTCTTCCTCTGTCAGTCTCCTCGGAAGCAGAACCACCGGAAAGGCCCAGCTGCTTCTCATTAACCCTGCAGACAGTCTCTGCTCCGGAACCCGGCGGTACTGCGGCTAACGGACCGGGTTCTGGTTCGGTCTGTGTGGCGGTGTTCGTGAACTCTCTACCTCGGTCTACTTCACACGGCGCAGCAGCACAGTCCAACTCCGGCGGTGATGAGGACTCAGACTGTGAAACCAGAACCTCAGCTGGTTCTGTGGGTCCAGACGGTGTTGAAGAGTTGTCGTCTGGCGGTTTCTCCTGTTCTGGAGTCTGTCCTGACTGGGAGGCATGCCACAGTCTATCCACCAGATCAGCCTTCAGTCCTCTGCAGTCTAATCCCAGTTCTGTTAGTTTGGACCGCAGTTCGGCCACTTTTAACTTCTTAATGTCTGCTAACTTCATTCTTGCGGCGTCAAGATAAAGCAGACGGTTCGCTCATGACAAAAATAACTTAATAAAAAATAAACAGGAGCATGATTCAAAACATTCCCCCCCCATTTATTCTCTTCTTCGTCTTCTTTTTGGAGTTTATTGGCAGGCGGTTACGCTCCTTCAAGTTACATGCTGCCCCCTATAGTTTAATCTGGGTACTGACTAGTTGTTCTTTTTTCCGTTCAGTGCTCTGCTGCCCCCATCTGGTCATACTTTATTAAAGCACGTTAAGACATTATTGGGATAGAGATAACGTTATTGTATTTCCCAATATAATCCACATTTTTAAACTATAAAGGCATTTTGTCTATGGTTATATGTCTCAATTAATTCACAACATTTTTGTTATCTTTTAATTTGTCTTTTAAAAACAGCTCTCTAAGGTGTGATCACTTTTAACTGCACACGGTAGAGCAGATGTAATCTAATGCAGGTCTTAGTTTAGTTTTGGGAATTAGTATTTTTGAGGATTAATAGTCTACTTTATTTTTTTCTCAGCATTTCACATTTTTTACACCTGCTTGAGGTAAAGAAGGGCCTGTTACTTACTACTCTAGTGTTTTTTTTGTTGTTGTTTTTTTTAGTTCTTTGCAGATGCAGATTTTTTACCATGTCTGTAATCTGCTTCCCCTCCCAATAATGTTACAATTTAAGATAATGTTACGATTTAAAAATAAAAAAAATTTTGCCAGGGGTTGTGGGTGGCTTCCTTAAAAAATATTTATGAACCCAAGGTTTAAGGCTTAAATAAATTCTTCAAAAAATGTTAGTTATGTTTTATTTAAATGCTATCTACTTATAAATAGAAACTCATTGAGCCCTAAAACCACCCATAATTAGTTAACACTTTACAGTAATGTTATAAACTGGGATGAGGCTTTCTTCCATAGAAAGATGACAAGTTTAAAACCTTGATAAAGTAAGCAGCTCAGGCAGGGTATAGTATATTTTCAGAAATTTACAATATTTGATTTTCTTTGAATTGAAGATGCGGTAAAAAAAAAAAGTTAAAGAATTTTATTTTCTATGAGAAAAAAAAAATGCCCACCATGATCCCATGCTTTAAATTAGTCCAGGTAGAAAATGGACAGAGAAATAATCAGAATATCTCCCATCAGATCAGAGATAAGAATTATCCTTACATATATGGGTTTTCAATCAATGGTTTTGCTTGCATATTAAAGTTCCTACAGTTTGATTTGTTTTTTGTAGAGTATTCTGGAATGTTTCCTGTTGCAACTTCCTTCTGTCCAACCATTTTCTAATTTATTTTAATGTGTCTATTAAAGTTGACACTCAAAAAACAGAGTTTCGCAGAAGCACATTGCATATCAGACTACAGTAGAACTTGATGGCACATTTATGATGATGCATTTTCATATTTTACTTACCTTTTATATAATCTTCTGTTGTCTTTTTTTATGAAGCACTGTGTGATTTTATACTCTCAAATCTGTCAATTGTTTATCTGTGCTAGTTGATATATATATATATATATATATATATATATATATATATATATATATATAAATTCTTCTTCTTCTTGGTTTAATAACCATCTGAACCAGATTCTCCTCTGAGTGACCTTTGGTGCTTTGGTTTCATCAAAGTACAAAAGGAAACAATACAAGAGCAAGGGTTTTATTTAAATACATAACAAATCCAAACTATGACAATACAGTAAATGAGAGCAAATGGATAACGAGGTGTAAAAAGTGAAGTTACAATACAAAAAGTATTTCATAAATAATCTGTGACAGAACCAACTGATCCTTCTTGACTTTAGACTTCCAGCTCCGCTGTTTGTGTTTCATTAGAGCTGCTCTAGACAACCAGAAGAAGCATCAGCTTTGACTCATTTTAACAGAAATCCTTAGAAAAGTCAACTTTTACTTTTCATCATCATTTTCTGTCTCAAAGCTACCAGTGATCAGCAAAGAAGTTAAAGAGCCAAGCTGATCAATAGATTGCTGGAGCAGCTCCGTCCACATTAACAGCACCATCATAAAAGTCGTCACAGGAGCAGAGAGGCTCAGTGGTGAACAAAAAACAACATTTACGTCATGCTCACACAGTGAGCCTCCTCAAAAACATGTAGCTCTTCCTCACCAGCTGTTTCACAACTAAAGCACCTTAGTGCTTCATCTGAATAAAACAGAACACACGTCTTTCATCCCTGATGAGGACACAACTGTGCAAAATGTTGGACTCCAGGACAAATGTAAACATCATGCTTTTAGAATAAACATCAGCTAAATGCACAAATATAATGAAGTACTGTCAGTATCACAGATAAGTCAGATGTAAAGCACTTAAAAAGCATATTTAGAAGGATAGACTGTTATGCTTCTGATCTATTCTGTTAAGACAGAAATAAAGTAAACTCAGAAACGTTTATCATTGTTTAGCTCAATTTGATACCACAGCTTCTTCAACAAGAGTTCCCTTTTGTTTTTTCCATTTTTCTTCTCATCTCTACACTCTCAGTCATGAGGGAAACTGTTTGTACGTCTGAGATAATGTCCTAAAAGTTAGAGCAATTCCACATATTATGGCATAGATCGATTGATTTTCTTTTTGTTGGAGCGGCACAAATAAGCAGAGGAAAAACTATGGCAACTATGACATAAACCCATATTATAAAAAAAAAATAGATCTGACAAATAATTGGCACCCTTTTAAAATCTTTCAATGGCTAACTTTGTTTCAAGCATTTGAAGGTTATTTAAATTGTGGTAATTGAAAAATTGATTGCTGCCTCACCTCTTTATGCAGGACAATGACTCCAAACAGAAGTCACGTAAAAGGATGAAATGAAAGCAAAGTTCTGTAACCGCAAGCAATGAGTCTGGATCTAAATCCTGTGAAACGATTTGGATTTGTTGTTCGGGGATTTGTTGCCCCCCGCCTCTGGAACTCTCTACCACCCCAACTTCGAAATACGGACTCAATTCTCCATTTTAAAATACAACTCAAAACCCATCTGTTCAAGATTGCTTATTCTCTTTAAAAATATCAATTTCACTGTCACAGCCTCTGTATTTTTTAAATGTTTTTATAATTATAATTTTTATTTTTTCTGACACTTTTTATGTTTTGTACGGTGACCTTGAGTGTCCAGAAAGGCGCCTTTTTAAATAAAATGTATTATTATTATTATTATTATTAAGACAGCCCTCAGATATGAGAGTTGAAAGAAGGTTCAAAACTACAGAGGTGACTGGAGTGCCCTATAAATGCCCTTTCAATTGACTGGCATGAAATGAGCTTTACCTCTGTTTACCGCATTTGCCTTTATAGGCTTCATCAGTCGGTTTGGAGCGCCTTGGGATTCTCCCGAAGGAGCTGGCCCAAGTGGCTGTGGAGAGGGACGTCTGGGATTCCCTACCGAAGCTGCTACCCTCGCGACCCGACCCCAGATAAGCGGAAGAAGATGGATGGATGGAAGAATAGTCGGTTGATAAGAGAGATCTGAGTTGGATTCTCTGGGTGTGACGCACTTTTGTTCACTTCAATGCCTTATTGAGTTTCCGCTGATACTGATACTTTAGAAAGAAAACCAATAAACTCTAAACATTGATCACAAAAGACCAGCCACGTGTATCCAAAACCCCATGGCAGACCTAACATAAAAGGGACAAATCTGAGTTTGATCATGGTGGGAATAAGACAAAATTTGATATTAGGGCAGCTTTCAACAGGAAAGGAGTTGAGATCTGCCTTGGCAATGAAAAGGGAACCAAAGGTGGCCATCTTTTGGCTAAAAACGTAAGATGCTCCATTAAAAAGACTGCTGTGCTTTTCCTCTTCTTTCATGCCAGCCGCTGGTGTCATTTTAACATGTCGCCAGAGGGGGCACACTTCTACAAAACTCAACACCTCACACTGTGCTTCTTTAAGTTGAGGCACCAATAATTTGGTCAAATAAATTTTTTGCAATTTTGAGTGAAATTCACCTTTTTTTCCTCTACATTGTATATTATCCCACACACACAAAACAAAGGAAATTAACAGTTCTAAACCAAACATGTCTAATTGCACGGTAAGAAATGTATACTTTAATGGAACATTTCAGACAGATTTCTGTTTTTCAGTTAAACTTTGTAGGATAAATCTGTGAGTTGAATATGTAAATCACAGTAAACCATGGATGTTTGGCTCTAATTAGGTAACTTAGCTTATTGATTGAACAAATTATAAACAGTTGATGTTGTAGCCATGCAGGATACCAAAATTAACCAAAAAGAAGAAAAGCTGAGCGTCAAACTTGTTTTCAAGTTGCCTGCAAGCCATTTGAAACACTTTGATATTTTTACAGTCATGCAAACCAAACATGTATAAAAAGGAAGAACTTCAAGAGCTGGCAGTGAACCAGATGAATCTAACAATTCGTGATATATTTCTGAATCTGGATTTGATGCTTCTTTCAGAGCATTTTTAAGAGGAAACAGAAACTGCAAAGAATTACCAAAAGAATAGCATTAGAATGCAGAGGTCTACATTTCATTTTAGCATTAAAGTTAAAAAGAAAGCTCACATCATGAGAATAACTTAAATCAGCCTGAGTGCTAATGTGTAGTAAAGAAACTCTGCTATTCATTTGAATGCGCATTGACAATGGTACATTTCTTGAGCAAAATAAAAGCTACAGCATGTTGTATCTTTGGCATTTATTTGCTGCAGCTTCTTAATGCTTACCTGCTGATATTTTATATTTAGAACCGAGCGGTTAGGCTCTGCTGAATAGGATTGGGCATATAAACAGTAGGATGTGCAAAGTGGACCTTATGTGGAGTCTTAATGAACAAAATGAGGCTGAAAATAAACGGCAGAGCTAAATGCAAGGCGATGCACCACTACCTCCCTCCCTCTCTCAGACGAAGACTGTTGGGGCTGCAGGGGGAAGAGGAGGAGTCGGGGAGCCGCCGTCAGAGGGACTGTGTCCAAGCAGCAGCTCATTGTCTCGGTGCAGCCAAGGCCCCTTGATGTGCTCTCTGTGGGAATGGTAGAGACGAAGGAAGGCCAGGGTGGACTGAACCAGCCACAGAACCGTCACAAACCACAGGGATGCCTGAAGATGCAAACAGAGAGTCAAAATGACAGGTCTGAAAGAATCCAACCCAAAAAAGTAGGGATTCACTACCTAATCTGTACAACCCATAGGGTGTGTATTAAACATAGCTTTTTTTCTGTGTAGTTTACCATTTATAGGTTAATAATTACACTGCTTGGTAAAGGGATTTGCCCCTTATTGATCCATATCTCACATTTTCTCATGTTAAAAACAACAAACTGCATCTTTTCTTTTTAGAAAGACCAGCAGGGAAACACATACTTGTGAGTCACATTTCACCCTGGTTTCAATTCAATTCATTCAGTTTATTTATATAGCGCCAATTCACAGCACGTCATCTCAAGGCACTTTACAGTTCACCAGATCATCCAGTCAAATTGATTCAACGTTTTCTATCTAAGGAAAACTAGTCGATTGCAACGACTCATTGACTCGGATGCAATCCCTCACACTAAGCATGCTTAGTGGAGAGGAACCTTAAAGAGGGAGGGACCTTAAAACCTCTTCAGAGCATTCCTTATTTCATCCCTTATCATTTCTTTATCTGATCTCCTTTGTCTTGGCTGCACTTGTTTAATCTACGTCATAACAACAATCAGTCACTGACTGGTTGCCGTGATGAGAATTCATAGAAAAGTTTAGATTTTTCAACTTTCAACGATCACCGCTCTGCTCTCTCAATGTGGTGCTACTGTTTGACAACACCTCAATTCTATCTAGTAGGACGAGGTGAGAGCTACTAGAGAGATTCACTGCTGGATACAATGACTATCCACCACCCTCACAGCGTTCGGTCTGAATGCACCTTGGTAGTAGTTGAGCATAGAGGGAAATTATATAATTTTCCAAAACAGATCCATCACACTTAATCAAAAAACAGACAAAAAGTTTCCCCTTAACATAGTACAGCAATTAAAAGTTTATACCACATAGACTATTATTCTGCAGTGTAAATTTTTTTTAAAGCTACTTGAAGACAAAATAAAAATGCAGTTCATAACATGCTGGGTTTCTGTTGTGTGTTCTGCTCTGAGCTCTTACCTGTGCCACACTAAGATCTGTGTAGAACGTAGAGGTGTTAACATCCAGGTAGAGGGGGACGGACTGGGACTCTGCACAACTGAACATAAACAAGCATTCAAGGGAAAAGACAATATTACTAAGACTGATTATTGTGGTTCAAAAAAGGTTTGTTTCACCTGTAATCTGGTAGCCTGGCCACCAGACTGATATGCAGTATTTACAACGTTTCAGTCTGGTAAAGAGCTGGTAGAGCTAGATTTCAGGGTCAGCATCATCAGGTTGGAACCAATCAGTTAACTACATATGTAAAGCAAAAACTCCAAAGTTTCTTATTATGTTTTAGGCCATGAAACATGTCAAGCTGTCAAAAAAAAAACCTCTCCAGTGAAAGATTTCTGTCGGTTTTGCCTAAAGGTTTATTCTCTAGTACTTAATATTCATTACCACCTTGCTCCCTTCTGGTCGCCAGCTTGCTGTTATGCTAGCAGAAATGCGCTGCTGTATTATGGGTAATTCTGGCGCTAAGTGTTAAGACATCGTAAAGTTCCACCTCAGGCCAGAGTAATATTACCCTCACTAATTCAGTCTGGTTGGCCAGACTAGCTGTTTGGAATATTAGGCATTAACAAACTGCAAAGGTTAACTATCTTCCTTGTCTATAAAAAAAAGATGTACCATCTGATAAATTTAGTCCATAAAACCATAAAGGATTTACCTATAGGGACGCTTGTCATCATCTGTGACTGTGTTACACCAGGAGCTGAATCCAAGAGACAAAATGACGCTGGAGCCAGCAGACAGGAAGAGAACACAGACGCTCAGCAGGACCGTGAGGAAGGATGAAAACAGAGTGCTGGAAGGAGGAACACATAAGAACAAACATCTACTCAGAAAGTGTTCATGAGATAAAGGGCTCAGAAATTTTACTGTGGAGATTTTTTTTTTAAACACTTTTCAGTCTCAAATTTCAATTTTAAATAATTCTTATGCCTTATAAACCTGTACAGTTTTAAATACATAATATGATGTAGGGCTCAAAAGCTAGAATATTAATTCATATATCAAAATACCACATAACTTAGATCACTGCTGATTATATATTAATAATTCAAGATATTTACCTCTTTAAAAGGATTATGTTAGTGAATAACCTTTTTTCCGCCTTCACTGGTGTCAAAAGCACCCTCTTTACAGTTCAAATTATTGAATCTGTGACTGTAGCACATGAACTTTAAAATATTTAAGAAAATAATAATTTTGGATCTAGAATTATATTTGAACATAATGGTATCCTACGACTTAAACGTATATTTAATATGTTGTTGTTAAATGATTGGATATTGTTTATTTCCAGTTTTCTAAATACAATTGTATTTTAATTCATCCAATTATGTATTAAGTTGCTTGTAGCTCTTTTGATTCTCCATAAGCTCTATTTAATAGGCAATGTAAATAAGCAGACTAATATTAGATAAATAAAGATAAAAATAGATAGATAGCAAACAAAACTGCTAAAAAGAGGGAAAACTGAAATTTGTGATATATGTAAGTTTTAAGCGTGAATCATAGGTTTTAAATAAAAAACAAAATGAAATGCTCAATCATAACATTCATTATAATTATAGAAAAAAACAAAAATATATCTGTTATCAACATTTTGTCTGGGTGTTTATAATTTTTTGTTAACTTATTTTATATGTAATCGACTGTAGCCCGAATATATATATTTTTAAGTTTATCATAATTTAATTCGATGCTGTTACTTATTCGTAAAATAGTAATAACCTATTAGGCCTCTAGTGCAATAGGTTTACTCTGGGGAGACATGCATTTACTGTATTTATTCTGATGAGACTGTTGCTATGGTGATAATAAAGCCCCTCCGTGGACTCACTCATCATGCCTTCCGTGCAGATAGAGGAGGCACCTCCAGCCCTGCGCAGCCCCGTACAGAGTGGTAAAAATGCCCACAAAAGTGGCGAGCTGGCATGCCTCCGGAGGGCCCCACCGCTGCACCACCAGGTGCGACAACTCCTCGGGTTGTCCCGTAAACTCGACCCGGTCTTCTTTCCTCCAGTATCCGCTGGAGAAGAGGGCACAGCGGCCTTTGAATGCAGAGCCGTTAAAAGCCAGCGGGACGACCACCAGAAGCCCCGCCGCAAAAGAGAGGGCGTGAGCGGCGCAGTGAATTAGCAGCAGCCGGCGGTCCAGCTCCATGCCGGAGGTTCACAAACAAGGGTAAAGAAAATGGGCGGATTCGGGATGGGGCAGAAAAGTCTAATGTCAGCACATCACGCAGGGGCAGCTGAAGCGTTTTCTAGAGAGGAGGGTGACGTATTGAAAAAATGGGCGGGGCGGACGCTATTCACGGCCTGCACGTACCAACAGAGAGGGAGAAAAACGACAGAGGGATCACTCTGACTCATATTCTACAGCGCTGTTCAGCTTGATGATGATTTTTTTTTTTTTTTTTTGCAATAACTTGTTTGTTGTTGCAAAACAACAGATTGAAAACAGAATAAAGCTCAGTCAGAAAATGTGCCAGGAGTTATGTAGACAAGTTGCTGATTGATTGATTGAATTTATTGATCTCACAGTGGAGAAATGTACTCGTTACATCGCCTCAATAGTCAAAAAGAAGAAGATATCTAAAGGAGGAAATGATGCATCGGGGTATATACAGTGCATCCACATATAGCACATGGTGTTAAAAACAGGTTACTGCACAGGGTATTAAATAGTAATTGCACAAGTTATTGCCGTTATAGTGTTGCATTGTAGAGTGTGATGGCAGCAGGGATGAATGACCTGTGGTAGCGCTCCTGTAGTAAAAGTCTTTCACTAAAGGAGCTGCTCAGCTCCTCTACAGACTGGTGCAGGGGGTGAGAGGTGTTGTCTATGATGATGTAAGCTTGGACAGCTACCTCCTCTCAGCCACTTCCTCCACTGAGTCCAGAGCGCAACCCAGGGCAGAAGTGGTCTTTCTCACCCGTTTGTTCAGTCGCTTTGTAAAAATGAAAACAAACAAATAAATAAAAACTAATATACCAAGGAGTATCAAATACATATATATATTCTACAAATAAATATATATCTTCTACATCATTAAGCTGTCCAGAATTTTGTTGGGAAAAGTCTTATATGTATTGTTGACACATTTATCCTTTAATCCTTTCAAATTATTTTAAAGTCTTTCATCATTTAAAATAAAGTATTTCACTAAAATTTTAAGCTACCTTTAGCTTTGTTTTCTAATAAAAACGCAAATGCCTGAACTTGTAACTGTAAAACGTTGTGAATTTACAAAAACTATTAATTCAAGGTGTGGGTATTGAAGCAAAATCAGACATTGTAACTTGAGATGGGTGAGGGAATTAGTAAGATACAGAGAAAACATTTTACAAATTAAAATAATAAATGTAGAGATAACTTTATATATTTATATTATAGTTTTTTTTCTTCTGTGTAGGGGAAATTGGCCTTTTATTGTGTGGAAGATCACAGAGTAGATAAAAAAAACTAAAAAGAAAAGTAAAAAAAAAAGAGTAAAGTAAGATATTGTTTGAGTTTAACTTAAAAAAAACAAAGGCTGGCTTTTCTTTAGGCATTGATTTTATATGTATATGTTATCAATATAAATAATTTTTGTTACAGAAATATATGAAATACCTCTATTTTCAGGAATATACAAATTTCTTTGTGAAGTGTTACATCTTTTACACAGAAAATCTTCGTTTGTGGCAAGTCTACCATCTGTGACATAAACCACCTACGTCATGACACATTTCTGCAGATGACCTACATTGGAGAAATGCATGTCAAATGCCTGCAGACATTTTTGCTGTATCCACCATCAAAGAACATCTAGATTTAATTAAAAAAAAACATTGCAATCAGCATTTATTGTTTTGATCTAAATCTGGGCACCAGAGTCGTTACATCAGTTACAACAAATCACTTTACATCCGGTTAATCACCAATATGAGGACTACTTCAATGCAGCAGAATAAGCTAACTAATGACAGATGTATTCCCTTCCTTACTTAGATAAAGCTTGATATGATTTTACAGAAAAAGAGACTATTGCAAGGTGTAGGTACCACTGAGAGGGCTAATTGCATCAACTAAAATTGGATTGTTTCATATTAAACAGTAGTGGAGCTTGAATGATAAACAGAGTGTGGCATATTAATGGATCACCGAGATAGGTGTATTATTTGTAAATGAATGGGCAAACTTGTCAAGACTACAGTGCACCTGAAAAACATTGCCTTTGTGCTTAACTGTCCTTGTGTCTTAAAGTCTTCCTTTTACTATTTAGGTGCAAAAAAGCTATCAATCTCATTCTTTCCCTGTGTAACAATCATGTACATAACACCACTGTAAAGAGGATGTCAGGTCTTTGTAGAAACATGGGATTGGACCGGGGACCTTCAGATCTTCAGTCTGACCCTCTCCCAACTGAGCTATTTCAGCACTTGTGCTGCTGGGCTAAATCCCACCACCAGACTCATACATCATAATAATCTATATATCACTTAACATTTAATTTATCCTCAACTACAGCTATAAGAAAACCTTCAGTGTAGCTGGATAAGCTTACTAATGACAGAAGATGTGTTCAATTTCCTTGCTTTGTTAAAGCCTGATATGATTTTAAGAGAAAGAGACTACTTCAAGGTTTAGGTGTCACTGACGGGCCTTATTCTCACCAACTTAAAGTCAATTGTTTCATATTAAACAGTAATACAATCTGTTTGATATAAAGGACAAGGTTCTTTCTATCAGTCTGTTTACATAAAAATCATCAGCTGAAACAAAAAACAAGCTGTTTTGCCATTTTGTGCAAAAAAAAAAAAAAAATATATATATATATATATTTTATTAAACTGCTTCTCTTTTTTTGTTCTCATTCTCAAAATGAAAATAACATTACACATTTTGTTTAATGGTGTTAGGATTATTTTTATTGATGATGTGTGAGTCTGTTAGACCCTTATAATACCTGCCTGTAATGTGTCAAAACGAATGTTTTCCCAAGCAGTTTATCTAATTAGCGCAGTTCTTCTCTCAGGATAAAAAGTCATCTACATTATGTACATGACAAAGATTTGGGAAAGGAATGAGAGAGGTGTCCTTGATCTAAGAACACACTGTAATATTTTGATATGGCTGGAGCCATATGGATTAAGAGAAAATTTAAAGGCGTAAACTCAGAGCTTTCCTTTATAATGGGTGGGCCCTCATGTTCATTCCCCTTCAAAATAAAGCTCCTATTTAGGCAGACATGGACAAACTTCATTTCATTGTATTTCCTGCCCCCTTCGCAGCCCAGGCATTGGTTCCAAATTAAAGCAGTTCTTGTACAAATATAGATAGATGGTTTATTAGGATTAAAACGTTCTTTTGAGATTGAGAGAGATTTAACAGCGACATGATAGGCATGACAAGTCTGATGAGGCAATTAGGATGGTTATCTTGAATGACCAGGTGACGCCGTTCATTAATGGGACCATCGATCACCCTATCTAGCCAAAATAGTCCACCATCTTCTTTTTCAAAGCCAATGAATGGGGCGTTTATGGATCGGATGATTGTGGAACTTTAATTCTTTAAGGTATATACTTTTCTGAGAATCATTCATGCATAGGCCTATTTCTGGAAAAACAGGAAGGATAAACCTATGCTTTTTTAAAATTATTATTATAATCTAGCATTGATTTGTAAACAAAGCCCTATCATCATCATCACATTTCTGACTAAAATTACAGATGCCAAAGTTTACAATTACAATCCTCAGACCATATCGCTAACCTTTATAGCAGGGGTAACCGATTAAAAATCAGCGGGGTCAGAAAAAAGAAAATCATCAACCAGTAAAAGTTTGGAGACATTTTTAATTATAATCCATTACTTTAAACAGAATTTACCACTGAAATAAAATGAGGTTTATTATGCATCCATGTTATACATTGAAATTTTAAATAAAAAAACATAAAAAAAATAGAACACTTTTTCCATTTTTTATTCTAAAGTGTTTTTTTTAAAGTAGAGAAAAACAATCTTTCAGTTTGGTATATGGACATTTTCCTGATTCCCATATTTTGTAAAACATCTGAACTGACCGTTTATTTTATGAAAAAATAGTTTGTGCTGTTTTTAAATGAGAGAAGTGGGCTTTAGGCTGCCTTGCATGGTTTTTAAACCTGGATTTGAATGGTGACAAATCTATTCTTGAGCACGTATCAAAGACGTGACCTCTGCTTTATAGCAACAGGCCTCTGCTGTGCGAATTTAAAGGATTATCATAAATGCTACCTGACGTTCAACAAATTAGGAGTTTATTGTTTCCAATTCGCTAATCCCTCAAATATAGTCCTTTTAAATACTTTCAAAAGTTATTGCAAGGTTAAGTTACTTGAGTAGTAATGTCACCAAAAGTGGCGTTTCAGTCTTTTATTTCTTTTGATAGTAAGGTTGTGCATAAATCTATAGAAAACACATTTAACATTTGAGTATTACATTTGATCTGTTAATAAATAATAATACAGACATTCTGGCTTGATGAAATGCTTGTTTTTATCTGCTTTAAATTTATTTCCAAAAGGAATCTGACATGTTGAATTTGGCTGTAGGTCTCCAGAAGCTCTCTTTCTTTCCAAATCTCACATTCTTTCCTGAATGTTAAAATGAATTCAAAACACAGTTGGTGTTTTTTTTTGTGCCTTCTTGAACTGAATCCAAGTCAGTTTTTCAAATATTTGTCCACCACCTGTAAATAACATTACCTAGCATTCTAAATCATTTTCACATGAAAAGTAACATTTGCGTATCAAAGAAAAAATACCATTTTATTTGGAAATCAAGACATCCGATTGTGGTTGGAGAGGAGCAGAAATAAAACTGTGCAGAAGTGACCTATTAGGAGCACTTGATGCTTCCCACTCCAGATGAACTTTTTTACTGATTTCATATTGTGATAGGACTTGGAACCTGCCCAAATATACCAAACACTGCTTTAATAAGCATAGCATTATTGAGCTTGATTGATCTACAGCCTCCCATGAACTGACCTTATTAGAGGATCTATGAAGTGTAGTGAAGAGGAAGATGAGGTTCACCAACCTTCTGGTGAACCTCATCACTAGTACCAGGGCTTATTTCTTATTTTTCACTTTGTTTTTTTAATAGTTGTATTTTTGATTGGAATCTTTGAGTTGTTTTGTACTGAAAAGTGGAGAAGCTCTAATCCTGTTGTACATTGTATAATCACAATAAAAGAACATTTGATTTGATTTAATTCAAAAAAAGGGAACAAAAAACTGAGTGCATATACTGTCAGGGACATTGACTTTTAAGAGGGCTGTCATGTCTTTATTTTACATATATTTCTAAAAATGATATATTTTTTTCTTTTAAACTATTATTCAAAATTAGCATAAATAAATACTTGAAGCATATCCCTCAATCTTTTTAATAATCTAAATTTTATATTTTGAATCAAGTTACTAGAATTCCCTTTTTCCATGATACTTACTATATATTACTATGTGTACTATCTTAAAACATATCCCTTTTTCAAACATAAAAAAAAATATATATATATATACTTTAAACTGTACTCCTCTTTACAGAAAAAAAGATTTAAAGGCTCTTCTGCCTGTCATTATGACTTTCAAGGGAATCAAAACTCACAATGTTTATGTATTATGGTGAAATAGGTAGTGTCCCTATTACTTAAGCAATGCTTCTAGCCTCAGTGATAACGTAAAATAGAAACACGTGTTATATAAATGCCGTGACTTCTCTGGACCAGTGTTGATACAATGTCATGTGAAGTTACTTTTTGTTTATAAGTCCCAGTGAAAATACTAAGAAAAGGAAGTTAAGAAAGTATTCATAGCTTTTTTAGAAAACAGAAAAGCAGATGTCCTGAATTTCACAACCTCAAAGCATTTTTTTCCAAATAGAAATGAATAGAAAAAGAGAAACAAATGTTTGCAGATGTTTTTGGTCCAATATATTTAATGTTGAAGAATAATTGCTAAGAAAAATAAGATAAAATAATAAGTGAACTCTTAAACAGAATTTTGAAAAGCCAATTCAGAAAATAATTGGATATTTCATATTTTTCTTATATCTTAGTCATTTATTCAGGTTAAAAAGAACTTTGTTTCATTATTCCACCTTAATGCATTTAGCTTGTGTCAATGAAAACCTAGCATTTAAAATGCTTCACGGTTCTACTTTGCAGCGGTTCATTTATATTGCAAGTGTGATCCAAATAGAAAAGGATAGCATAACCAAAAATTGTACTAAAAGCCCTACTTCCTTGTATTTTTATTAAAAAATAAATATAGTCATCTAAGAAATTGATCAAGTAAGAGTAGAATAGCATTGGGTAAAAAGGCTACTCAAGTACTGAGTAACTAATCGACTTACATGTGATCATAACGTCTGATTTTTTATTAAAATAAATGAATAAAGAATGCTGGTGTTTTAAATAATGATATAAAAAATAATTTATCTTGAAACACTTCTCAGTATTCTTTATCAAAAAAATTAGTTATCTAATTTTGTATATTATGTAGGTAATAATAGGCTGATTACTTCCAGTGACAAGATAAAGTATACTGTTTACTTAATGTTCACTTGTCATCCGTATGACACAGCTGAATAAGTAGATAGAAACATTAAACCATTGAAGCTAGAATACTATCTATAACTTTAATATAACCTCTAAGTTTGTCTCTGGTGCATTTTTATTCAAAACAAGCTTGTTCTTTTTTAAGTGAAGTTACGACTTGCAAGGTAGCCAGAAATTTCACTCAAGTAAGAGTTGTGATACTTCCATCATATTTACTTGAGTAAAGGTAAAAGGTACAATGTTGTAAAACTACTCTCTACAGAGAGTCTCTCTCTAAAACAACAATCTGCAAAAAGATGATAGCTTGATCCAAATGCCATTCCTTAGCCAAGCATACATTGCACTCTGGGATACTGTAGAGTAATTAACTGTGCTTTTTTCATACCTCTAAAACAAGTTTGCCTGAAACTTAGAAAATTCTAAAAAAAAAGTACATTCGACCAATAAGTTCTTGCATGGTTTGTAGACTTTGTACTGAGGTTTGGGTTTGCCTTAAGGTTCTCTGTTTGAAGCTATAAACCCATGGTAAAATGTCCAGTTGCCAAAGTTAACATCTGATTGAAGCAAAGTAAACTATGGTAAAAAGCCCTAATGTTTGACTCCTTTGGCCTTATTAACAGACTCTGGTTGTTTCTGGTGAAAATTATATAATGCTGAACTTCTCGCTGTAAAACCAAAATACAATATCAAACTTTATTCACATGAAACATCCCTAAACTTAACAAAAATATAAAGATTCAGACTTTTTTTCAAGGCAGGAAAAATTCCCTATTAGAAAGATAGTTCAAGAAAAGATCATGGACTCTTAACCATATCACTTGACCAGCTTTGGAATGGGAATAGAGGAAATGGACACAAACAGTTTAGCTCTTTATGAAGATATGAATAATTTGCAATTTTTCAGCTCAAATTATGCTAAAGAATCATTTTAAGAACATTTTTAATCAACATAATAATTCCTCCCATTAATAAAAACTTTTCCAACATGCCTTTACTCCACACAATAAGGTAACGGGAGAAGTTAGGGTATGAATCTTGCATGGCATCATAAATTGATTATTTTAGTTTTATGTGAAATTTAGAGCTTAGCTAAACTTTAAATCTAATCCTCATAATGACACAAATGTGCATTTCATTAGTTCCTCTCTACTTTGCTCCAATTGTGGGTGGAGTTTGGCTTCATATAAATAAAATGGAAACTTTTTTTCTTCTGGCCATGTGCACGCTAAAACTGATTGGTCATTTGATTTCACATCTTGAGAGCATGTGACTTCTTCATTTTAGGTGCTTAAGGTCAACAATACTTCCTGTTTCCACCATTAAAAGTCTCATATTGGGTACCTTTGATATGCATTTATATTTTGTTCAGTATTTATGGATTAAACAGAGATGTCTGAATTATCCTTAATTGAATTTTAAAACTTTTTTTTGTTAAGCCTGAGCAGCTGATCGCCTCAAATGTATATACTATATTTAATGTTATGGAGCTAGTATGCAGAAATCAGATTATTTGGATCCTACAGTGGTGTCACATAGGAATAGTGATAAAAAACAACCTCCCTGTTTACCCTAAAGGACACCCATCAACTGCTGAACAGATGTAAGCTGTCACTAACTGCCATTATACTGCTTAAAGTTGACTGGAAACCAAATTATGTATATTGAAATAATGATATCATGAGATGAACCATGGCTTCAGTGTGTTCATTCATGAGGGAGGAGTTTCTGCAAAGAGTGTGTTTAGGCTCACCTCATTCAGGGGAGGAACGATGATGTCACAGGCCTCACTACCACGAGACTACTTCAGGAAGTGCTTCACATTTCCTATCTCTTCCAACACACATTTAAACAGTCGGAGAGTTGCAGCCAGTTCGAGTTTCCCATAGAGTTTGGATATTTAGAAGATTATCTAGAAAGTTTAGATGAAAGAAGGAAATATAGGAGATCGAGAAGAAGGAGGAGTGCACAGACGATGGAACCAGCTAGAAAGAGGAGGATTTCACATATGTGGTAATATTTTTGACTTGATTTCTCCCCAAAACAGGTTTCTAACCATCTGAATTGTAATAAGCGTTAAATCCCTGAAAATGTTTTTAAATACATTTACCTCTTTATTTGCAAATAATACACTGTTGCTACTGTCAACCCAGTAGTCCAAACCTCAGCTTTTTGGCAACTAACAACAGGTTAAAAAAGGATAAACTTCACATCTGGCTTGTATGTTGGTGTAGAGTCTCAGTCATCCAGGTCATAGTCATTCCAAAAAGTAAAAAAAAAAAACTAAATAAAAAACACTTTGTTTTTTTTTAAGTTTGAAGCTTCCCATCCAGGAAGCTTTCTCTATTCTAAACGTCCGGAGTACAGTTTGAGTTCCAGGCTTACCGGTATGTAGTAATCCCAAACAAAGGCCTTGTTATGGCCAAGAAAACATGCAAACTAAACAGAAAAAACAGGTCCATCTCCTAGTAATGGGGAGTCATTGAGGTCGTTGGTTCCCTGCAAAACCAATACTGGCCCATGCCTCTGAAAAAGTGAGTCGTTCACATCTGGGTTGTATTTCCTCATATGGTTTTGGTTGTATTCCTTCAAATTTGTCAGTTTTTTTGTAATAAGCTGCTTAGTAAAATTTTATGAACTAATAATTATTCCATTTAATACGCACATATTGGAATAATAATTCGCTAAAGTTGTGAATGCCAAAAAAATATTTCCAACAACATCTAAAAAAAATAGGCTTATCTTCTCATTGCTTTTGTGTTAAAGTTGTATAATTTTACTTGGATTCAGGAAAGAACCACCGAAGAGAGACATTTATCCTGGTCCTAGCTGCGTGTCCTGCAACAGTAATGCATCAAAGGACCTTTACTTTGAATTTAAAGGGGAATTCTTATCTCCTAAACCGAGGTAAGCCAAGAAAGGTTAATAGTAGAATGAAAATGTTTTAACAAAAAATGACTTTAAAAAGATGTATGTAAAGATGTATGTATTTATGGATGTATGCATGTATGTATGTATGTATGTATGTATTTATGGATGGATGGATGGATGGATGGATGGATGGATGGATGGACAGACGAAAGCCAAATAGTTTGAGAGCTAAGGCTAATTTTAAATTAGGGCATATTTGATATTTTTTGTATCTTTTCTAAAGGAAAGCTGTAGATTTTTCTTCCTGTCTGTGTTCCTTTTTCTTGCATCATTTAAATTATTGTAACCTCCGTTAAGATCCCAGTGAAGAGACACACGGAGTCAGATAGCCAGAACTTTAACAACTTTAATGCGGAACACACAGGTCTTCTCATTCAAACAGATAGCCTTTTCACTCACGGTTTGGCTCTCTTTTCTGCCGCTAAGCCTCATGGGAAACACATAACACATAACAGCACCGTTTAACCGCTACATTATCTTAAAGAATTAAAAACTTTAGTGTTTTGAATTGGGATGGTATCAATTCAAGTTTCAAGAATCGATTTGATTTTGATTCTTAAGATTTAAAAGCTATTCTTTTTGGTCCGTTCCGCAATTGGATTGCTTGGATTAAAGGATTAGTTGTTTTGTTTTTTTACTGATACCTAATTACTGTGTGGTTGCACATATTGATGCGACTAGTATATTAGCATTTAACCTAAATTAATAACTAGTAATTAGTAGCGGTGGAATGTCTTTTTAAAATGTAACTTTAGTTATATCATTAGATATTTAGGTATTAATGTGAGAAACCATCCAGCGTTAAAAAATCTTTTTTTAATTTTTTTTTTATTTAACCACAGGCCTAGGAAAGTTTTGAATGTTGGGAAATGTGTTTTGAGACTGTCTGCAGACCAATTGAGACACTCTATTTTCATGCTATGTGAATTTAAAAAGCATGTTTTACCAGTTTTAAATTTCTCTTTAACCTTTTTTTTCAGAATCAAGTTACAGAGCCCAGACTTACCTGCTCCTAGCTGTGTGTCATGCAAGAGTGATGAATCAAAGGATCTTGTCATTATCTTTAAACAAAATTCGTCAACCATTAAACAGACGTAAGCTCTTACCAAAACCACACATATTTCTTATATCCCACTGGTAGTAATGTAAACTGCTTTTAAGCAGGGTTTTAGCAATTATTTTCTTAAAATTAAAAAACAAGTTGAACCTTGGGTATGAAAGAGGCTGTCATAAAATTCTCTGCAGACAAATATGATGTGTAAATATGAATGTACTGATTGCAAGTTAGATTGGATTAATCACATGACATCATTCAAGACATATGCTGCCTGGAGAAACTGACATATAATCTAAGCAGCAAAAGTCATATACTACGTAAATGTTGGAGAAAATGGTTTATTTGTAAGAGTAAGGAAGACTAATTTGGTTTAAACACCTCATAAAACACTTTTCTTCTGCATTGGTTATGTGTATTATTGTATGCAGTGTTGATAGATCCATAGAAATAAAAGGCATGTCAATTCAGAATTTGGGCTACATTTACACAACTGGTGATTTTTGTTGCGTTTAATGAGTAGGAAAAAATACTTTTTGGTGTTTGATCTTGCAAAGTGGTGTTTAGAGAAACAAGACTTTTAGATTCATTTTCTTCAAATTTGAATTTTATTTTAAAAAAAAAGACTTAAACATTTGCGCAGCATATTTTAATCTTAATTAGGTTATGAAAAGGACAAACTCACTCTTTTCTCTCTCCTTAGATGTGAGCTGAAAAGTTCAGAGAAAGTTTTCCATCTAGAATATACTGAAAGTTTTGTCAGTCTGTGGGAGGATGGACAGGAGTTGGAAAATGGGCCTTTTATTGAGATCACAAAGCAATTCCTTGTCAAAGGTAACACGAATAAGCTGATGGACATGTAAATAAAACACGTGAAATGTTCCCATAATGATTCCCTCATTGATTTCTTTTCTTGTTTATTTAGATGCAGATGCTTCATTTTGTCAAAATAAACTTAAATCTGCCCTGAAGGACAGGTTTCAGTGTGTTGCTGAAGGGATTGTTAAGGAAGGAAGCCCACTCCCTCTGAATAAGTTCTACACAGACCTCTATGTCACAGAGGCTTGGACTCGGGAGCTAAATAAAGAACATGAGCTTAGATACATTGAAACCGTTTCCAGGAAACAAGACGGGGAAGAAGTAACAATAAGAGTGGAGGACCTCTTCAAAGAGCCTAAGCCTTGCAGAACAGTGATGACCACAGGAGTGGCTGGCATTGGGAAAACGGTTCTAACACAGAAGTTCACTCTGGACTGGGCTGAAAACACAACAAACCAGAGTATCCATTTCATATTTCCCTTTACATTCAGGGAGCTGAATGTTTTGAAAGGCAAAGCGTTAAGCTTGGTGGAACTTGTTCACTATTTCTTTACCGAAACCAAGGAAATCTACAGGTTTGAAGAGTTTCAGGTCATATTCATCTTTGATGGTCTGGATGAGTGTCGACTTCCTCTGGACTTCCAGAATAATAAGATCCTGAATGATGTTACAGAGTCTGCCTCATTGGATGTGCTGCTGACAAACCTCATCAGAGGGGAACTCCTTCCCTGTGCACAACTTTGGATCACCACGCGACCCGCAGCAGCCAATCAGATCCCTCTTGACTGTATTGACATGGTGACAGAAGTCAGAGGGTTTGCTGAACAACAGAAAGAAGAGTACTTTAATAAAAGATTCAAAAACCTGGAGTTTGCCAGCAAGATTATCTCTCACACCAAGACATCAAGAAGCCTCGACGTAATGTGCCAGATCCCTGTCTTCTGCTGGATCACAGCTACAGTTCTGGAAGAGGTCTTTAAAACTCAACAGGCTACAGAGCTGCCAAAAACCTTGACTGAGATGTACATTTACCACCTTTTGGTCCAAAGAAAGGTTAAGAAATATGATGGGGAAGATGAAACAGGTGATCACTGGAGTCCAAAGAGTAAGACGATGTTAGAGTCTCTGGGAAGGTTGGCTTTTGAGCAGCTGCAGAAAGGAAACCTGATTTTTTATGAATCAGATTTGAGTGAATGTGGAATCAGTATCAAAGATGCTTCAGAGTATTCAGGAATGTTCACGCAGATTTTCAAAGTAGAGAGAGGATGGTATGACGACAAGCTGTTCAGTTTTGTACATTTGAGTGTTCAGGAGTTTCTTGCTGCTCTTTATGTTCATCTGACATTCACCAACCTTGGTGTCAATTTGTTCAAAGACAAAAAGCTCTCAAAGTTGTCCACGTTTTTCAATAAGCCAAATCTTGCAAGTTTTTACCAAAGTGCTGTGAACGAGACCTTGCAGAGTCCAAATGGACACCTGGATTTGTTGCTTCGCTTCCTCCTGGGACTTTCACTGGAGAAAAATCAGAAACTCTTAAAAGGTCTGATGACAAAAACAGAAAGAAGCTCACAGACGAATCAGGAAATTGTCCAGTACATCAAACACAAAATTGATGAGAATCTATCTACAGACAAAATCATGAATCTTTTCCACTGTCTGAACGAACTAAACGACGATTCTCTTGTGCAAGAGATCCAGCAGTTCCTGTCTGCAGGACAACTGTCAACAGATAAGCTGTCTCCTGCTCAGTGGTCGGCTCTGGTTTTCTTTTTATTGTCTTCTGAAAGGGAACTAGATGTTTTTGATCTGAACATGTTCTCTGTTTCTGAAGAGGTTCTTTTGAGGCTGCTGCCAGTGATCAAAGCCTCTAAGAAAGTTGTGTAAGTACCTTTATTTTGGATATCATCAATGTCTTGATTTATAGATTTCCCAAAAAATGAATCCTCAGTTGATATTTTTCACATGTTCTTTTCAGACTGACTTTCTGCGTGCTTTCACAAAGGAGCATTGAAGCTCTGTCTACAGTTCTCAAGACCAAGTCCTCTCCTTTGACAGTCCTTGATCTTAGTAACAACAATCTCCATGATTTGGGAATGAAAGAGATTGCTGATGGATTGAAAAGTCCAAACTGCACATTGAGAACTCTTAGGTAAGAAAATTATATTGAGATCCTTTCCAGAGGAAGACAAATATAATTCTTCAGATTAAAAAAAAATAATTCGCTCTTTTGAATATTTTGAGTATTAAATTTAAATGTTTTCTTTGAAACTCTCAGTTTGAAGTAATAAATGTTTTTGACAAACAGTATTATTTCTTTAAACATAATAGCTTTGTTGCATCTCTTAATTAAGTAGTTTAAAAAAAAATTAAAGTAAATAACATTTAAAAATTATATTTAAAAATGTATTTATAAATGAAATGACAACATTCATCTCTAAATCTATGTCATATCTTGGTCCATGTTTTTGGTTTGTTTATATCTTAATAAAAATAGTGGCCAGAGAGAACAGAATAGAAATATTCTTTACTACACTGAGATAATATAGGTGGACTGACAGCGAAGTGAAATGCAAATAGAAGCATGCAGATACAAACAGAGTAAGAAAACCACTTAATTTCTTTTTCCTTTTTAATCAAAAAGTATGAATATAAAAAAGTTTAAATAAAAAATATGTGTGAATACTAATTTGTAAAAAAAAAAAAAAAAAAAAAAAGCAACTAAAAAAACTACTCTTCATGCACATTTTCAACTTTTTATCTGTGCAGATTCAATACCACAAAACCCTTAGTATATTACAAACATGAGTGCATGCTCCTCTGCGGCTGGCGGCTTTATGGCTTCCTCCCAAACACTCATAGTCTCTCTTCTGCTCATTTGTGGATGTGTTTCTGCACACTCATGTCATCTTTTTTTCTTTTAAGGATGGAACCAAATAGAGAAAGAACGCTGCCTGTGATTGGCTAATTTTCAGAAAATCCTGCCTCTTGAAACATTGCTATTTTCCTCCTCTTTGTGGCTAGTAACTGTAGCAAATCATCTTTGGGCTAATCATTGTTTATTATGAGTGTGCTCATAATTAGCTGACAATTTGAATATAGTGTAGCATTCACTCTTTTGTCTTTTAGAAGGAATAAAAAAAACTTTGATTATAGTAAAAATAAATGTTAAATTCATTGTCAACCTTAGGGAAGATCTAATATTTCAGGATAAGACATGCACATTAGATGTAAATGCTTCTGATCAAAAACTTTTGTTTTTCATTTTCTTTAGGCTAAGTGGCTGTTCCCTCTCAAAGCAAAGCGTTGACCACCTACTCCTCAGCTGTAACTCATTCATCTGTCTGAGAGAGCTTGACCTGAGCAACAATATATTGCAAGATTTAACAATTAATAAGCTGTCTGATGGACTGAAGCATCCACTTTGTCAACTGGAAACTCTCAGGTCAGAATTAAGTAAATCAACCATTCATCTAAATTTCCAAACTTTTAGCAATTTTTTTTAAAACGTGTTTTTTAAATTAAATAAACCTAAAGGCAAAACTAATAGTTACATATTTCTACCATGCTATTAGTGCTATTAGGACAGTACTACCATTGGTTGGCATCCAGCGACAGTTGCGTAGGATGCAATCGGAGGGTGCAAGATACTTCACCCCATTGCCTATTTCTGGTGGTTAAAGGACCCCAGGGAAGCTGTTGCTACAATGTAGCTTGCCACCATCAGTGTGTGTGTGTTAATGGGTGAATAACTGAATATGTTTTAAAGTGCTTTGGTTCCGTCTCCTGATTTGAAAAGCACTATATAAGGACAGGCCATTTACCAATTCCCCATTTCTAATATCACTGAGCCATCTAAAATTTAGTCAGAACTGAATAGTAAATTGAACAGTAAATGTGAATATTGAAATAATTATATGTTTGCAATTTTTAAATTTTTTTTATATGCTTTATTATGACACTCACACATTTTTATCTTTTTCCCCAAAGACTGAATATCTGTTGTCTCTCAGAGATGAGCTGTGAAGCTTTGTCTGCACTTCTCAGCTCTGAGTCTGCAAGCCTTAAAGAGCTGGACCTTAGCAACAATAACCTGGGGGATTCAGGAGTCAAACTGCTATCAGCTGGACTGGCAAGTTCATGCTGTAAGCTAGAGACTCTGAGGTAAGCCCTAAAAATGTTTTCATTGGAGAGTTTTAGTTTTCCCAGAAGAATCCTGACTATAATAAGTTTATATTTTAGTAGGTAGTATGGTCCATGGTCCTGCAAGCTGTAAGCTCCTTGGAGGGGATAGATGTGGAGGACAAATATTTTTATAATGAGCAATTCTGATCTTCGAGATCATTCTTTGTATTGCAGTGTTATGTGTTTTTTTCCTCAATGGATTAAAGAAGGTGAAATAAAGAAGGTACTTAACGAATGGAAGGTTCTAAAGGGTCACCTTAAAACTAGTTTTAAAAGTTTTATTATTTAAATATGATCTTTTGATAAGATCTTCCCTTTCTCCTGAGTGATATTCCAAAAGTATTTTTTTAAAGGGAAACACTAAATAATCTTTCCACTTTAAATCATAAGTTGACCCACAAACGTGATCTGGAAAGGGCCTAATTCAGTATTTGTCCACCTCCGCTTCATTTTTTGCTTTGTCTTTTACTTACAGGTTTAAAAAATAAATAAATTATAGAGTGATTGTGGCTTAAGGCGATTTTTAGAATTAAGGTTTTATTTTTATTTAGTGAAGGGGTATGAAAGGGCAAGTAAACAAATTTTTTTATAAGTAGCCAGACCACTTATGTGTGGCGAATTGGCACTATATAAATAAACAGAATTGAAATTGAACTGAATATGTCTTCTTGAACTTAACATGTTAAAACAACATTCAATGTCTATAACTGTGATTTTATGTGAGAGACACATTCAACACAGATTAGCACAAATAGTGAATAACAAGGAGAAAAAAATAATGTATAATGTGTTAAATGCATTTGTACTCAACCGCTTTTAGTCTGAGTAACAGAAATACCAACCACTGCAACCAAGCTGCCTTCAAGAGATGTGTGATTACTATACAGCCATGGATAAACCTTAGAAAACATTGTGCACCCACTTTTACCAACCGACGAGTTTTCATTCAAAACTGAAATCATATCTATGGTTCAGCACATTCCCTTCATCTGTGTGTGTGTAGGCTGTCTGGCTGTCTAGTCACAGAAGAAGGCTCTGCTTCTCTGGAATCTGCTTTAAACTGCAACCCTTCCCACCTGAGAGAACTGGATCTGAGCTACAATCATGCAGGGGACTTTGGAGTAAAAGGTCTATGTGCAAATCTTAAGGATCCACAGTGGAAACTTGAAAACCTCAGGTAAAATGCCTGATTAGGTCAAAGATAACTCCTTTGTGGTGAGAAGAAGAAAACACATTTTCATCATTGTGTAAAATAAAGGAGTACTAACCTTTTTCTTCCCCACTAAATGTCTTCAGATTAGACCCAGCAGGAGTCAAGTGGTTAAGACCAGGACTCAGGAAATGTAAGTTTAATTTTGTCTTTAATAATATTAGTGTAATTTAATTCACTTAACACCATTTTTCATCTAAAAAGAAAGATCTAACAGGTCTGTTAGGATGGGCTCTTTGCTATTTATGTAAATAAACAATATTCAGGCCCACAATTAGGGTGGACACCAGTTTTCTTCTAAAACATCACAGGCCAATATATGCATAGACGCTTTCTATTTGCTTTTACTAAAAGGATAACTTGTTTATTCAGTAACTTCTACCAAAAAATTATTTGAATTATTAAATCAGTTACTGCACAATCAGAGAAGCTAATTATTAGGCAAAGTAACTGTCATTATTTTTTCATACAATTTGTTGATGGATTTGGATGCCTCCTAACTTTAAATAGAACATGGTGTTCAATAATAGTATTAATATTGATTAATAAATCAAATAACTAATTAAAGGACTACATAAGTGAACAAATTGTATGCAAATCTGCACCATTTTGCTTTGTGAGGTGGGGCAAGTGTGAAACAGTATAGTTATGTAAAGGTAAATTAGGTGTTTTGTAGCTGATATATTAAGAATAAAATACAAAATGATTTGTAATATACCTTTGTCATATTTACACGCTTTTGAAAAGTTCCTTCCTCTACTAAATGCAGGGGACTAAACTAGATTTAAGAAGCTTTAATATGTCCAAGCAGGATTACAACTAAATACATAAGTTGGAGGCTTTAAAAAATGTTTAATTAAACCAATAACATCTCAATCTATGACCTCCAGTACAGCCTGCATGTCAGTAGAGAGTAAAACAATGAGATTTTAGCTCTCAAGTATAGATTACTTTCTGAAGTTTAAAAGATATTTAAAGAATAAGGTTAGAACCAGTAATCAGAAACATTTATCAAAGGTGTGTATGATTTTATTTCAAAACTGATGAGATGTAAAGCATTCCGACAGCCTGCATGAATACAGAATGACAGTTTACATAAGGTGACTGCAGGACACAGCTACAGTTATAGGGTAGATGTGATTATTGAAACGTAAAGCCGGTATTAATGTTATCTGACTTTTTCCAGTTATAAGATCGGGTTGGTTATTATGTTGATATTCTAACATAATTAGGATTTAAAAAAAAAAATAATTACTGTGAGTCACAAACAGAATTTTTTTTTAATTGTTGCTTTACCTTTCAGATTTCTGTAACCTCACATTCCACACCAACACAGTAAACCGAAACGTGAAACTGTCAGACAACAACACAGAGGCATCATATGTGGAGGAGCCTCAGGCGTACCCAGATCACCCAGACAGGTTTGACAAGAACCATCAGGTGATGTGTTCAAATAGTTTGACGGGTCGCTGCTACTGGGAAGTTGAGCTCGTGGGAGGCGTCCACACTTCAGTGAGTTACAAAGGAATCGTAAGGAGAGGAGAGGGAAATGATGGTTGGTTTGGTGGGAATGACCAATCCTGGACTTTGTTTTATGATGGCAGCTCTTACTCCCTTTGGCACAATAAGAAAGGAATATCCATCCCTCATATGACCGTATCATCTCCCTCATCTCACAGAATAGCAGTGTATTTGGACTGGCCAATGGGAACACTGTCCTTCTACAGAGTGTCCTTGGACACATTGATCCACATCCACACTTTCCACACCACCTTTACTGAACCTCTTTATCCAGGATTTGGACTGTGGTCATGGGTGAATGCTCCTCTGGATTCATCTGTGCGCCTCATATCATTGTAAATGCATTCAAGTCCCTCAGCAAACTGGGACAGAGGTACGAACCTGGAAAATAACATGATGCCATAAACTGCAGCTTCACTATTTTGAAATCTCAACTTACTTGCAGTACGATCAATACACAGGTACTATCTGTCACTGAGGTTCTATTTGAAGAGCTGTTAAAAAGTGGTTGCATAGTTACAGATTCCCTTAAGGTGTTTTTCACGCTTAAAGGTTTCATATCTTTAAACACATTTTTTGTATCAGACCGAGATAAGCTGAGTAAATATAAAAACATTTTGAAAGGAGAGGAGAAGAAAACTGAACCTATGTGACAAAGAATTCACCATCCTGTTAAATAAGCAATTGACAGTGATTGATCACTTTTTTTAATGAAAGATTAGTTCAATTTCATGAGCTATGCTTAAGCCTGGTTTTTGCCAGACCTGTCGAATCAATAAATCCTATAGGTGACAGAAAGTAGGCCAACATCTGCAAAAGATCAACATCACAGAGAAATATTAAAGCATACAAGCCTTTTGGACTTCAATGAATTAAAGTGAAAACTATTATCCTTAAATGGAAAATCCAGGGAACAATAGGAAACTTTCTTAAGTGTTATCAAAGTAATATTACTCCAAGAGAACATTGACAACAAATTCAAGAAACCAAAAAAATAAAACCCACACCACTGACGACTGTTTTTTGGGGTGGCCTAGTCAAAGCTAAGAGTTGTATATATTTGTTCATTCATGCTCAGATAGACATGAAGTGATATGAAGTGACTGGATAAGAATTATTCTGCAAAAGACTGAGCAGAAATTGCTGCATAGTATTATCAAAGGTAAATTATAAGTTAATGTTAGCTGTGGCACTACTAGTAAGTATGTCTCAGTGGCCATTATTTTCTTCCCAAAACAGGATATTTAGATCACATTTTTCCTTAAAGAAAATCAGTTCTTATTTTTGAAAATTATGTTGTATTTATTCTGATTATTTCTGATTGATATTAAATTAGTTAGTTTTTTAAGCATTTGGGTGTGACAAAAAATCGAAATAAAAAAGCTGTACACAATACGTATATATTAATCTGCTGGTTTAGTTTAAATCATTCTCCTTTTTGTACACTAGAAGCTATTTGTTTTAATCAATTTAAAAGGCTGTCTTCTTCAGGACAAAATACCTGAGGGGATTACTCTGTTACAACATCAAAAGTTTTGTTAAAGTTATTTATTCATATATTTATGTATTTATTTGTTTAATGTTCTATTTTTCATAGCATGTCCTTTAACTGTATATAAGATAAAAACATAATAAGCAACTCTAGCCACATAATGGCAAAGAATTTTTTCAGGTATATGCTTTTGACATTGTTGTGCAGGGTCTCTGTTTTTTATATATAATGTGGAGTGTCAGGTACAGTTTTGAGAATTAAAAAATGAATTTAGACTGATTACAAGTGGTTCTCAAGTAACATTAAATAAAATGTAAAAGGATATGAACATAACTCAAAAGAATTAACTTTGAATTTTCATCCAAAGCTTCTACTATTTGATTGAATGAGATCATATTGAATGGATGAGTTGTGCAAAAATAACAAAATGCCTCTATGAGGAGCAAGGGTACATACTTAAAGTGTAAACACAATGTTTCTGGGTTGGAGGGAAAATATGTTCTTTTATTGTTGTAACTGTGTTGTATTTTAGCGTGCATGTTTTTGTAATCAAGCTTTAAAATATTCCATTTGACTTTTAAGTCAGTTACTCATTTAAAGAAAAGTTGTATTTTGTTCTGTATTATCTCTGTTACCTTCAGGTAGAAAGAAAATGTGTATGGAAAGATTTTTCCCTGATGTCTGTTTTGTTTGGTGGGCAAAAGAAAACTGCTCTGGAATCTGGAGAAAGATGCAGGATTGCATTCATGTCATCCTTTGCTCACACTGTGTTGCACATTGAAGATGATGAGTATTGGTGTCAAAGCTTATTTTACATTTAACATTAATAATTGTATAGCCAATCACCATAGCAATTGTTTAAAAGGGGCTTTGTGTGTGAGGAAAAAGACTCAAGCAACAACATGATGAATCAGGAAAGAAATCTTGTCAGGAATTCCTAAAAGATGTACCATGGGCAAAGATTTTTATGAAAAAATGATAATATAAGCTATTTTATTATGTAATTCTCAGGATTTCAGGAATTAGTTTCCATATTTTTTTTTTCTTGAAGAAAGACAGGAACTTTTTGGTAGAAAATAAAGATTCTGCTTGGCTGGAAATCAAAACTCTACTAAATTGAAATTGTTATGCGTTACTAGCAAAAACAGAAATCATGTATAATATGAACATATAACTGATATTAGTAAAAATTAATACCAAAAGCTAATGTTTTCAGTTAGGTGTTAGTGTTTGAATCCTTGAAATAGTATTTTTATTTTTATATTGAAGCTATCAGACAAGCCTCACCAGAATTTAAAATTATATTTTTCAAATGATTCACTGCCCTTATTTTATAAAACTGTTAGAAGTTTTTTTTTTGTCTGATGTATTTATTTAAAATAACATGTCAGGTCTGTATTGGAACCAATGCTTTTCTCTACATGAATAAATTATATATATAAAGTTTTAAACATTGTGTTTGTTGATTATACTAATATTTTCTGTACAGGTGAGAGCTTACAGCAGCTCTTGGATGATATCACACCAGATATGAATGAGCCTAGGGGGTGGTGAGTTGGGTCCAGGAAATTCTGTGAGTCTTGCTAATGACGGAATTTTTTCATGGATGTAAAGGAATCAGGCAAGCCCAGAAGAGAGTGGATCAGATTGAATATTTAAAGAGGTTTCTAGGGAAGAAAACCCAGGAGGGCAAGGAAAGGGTTAACAAAGGTTAACACTCTGGCCCTGGAGAGCTGACAGCAGGCTCCTTAAGCAGTCCACTGCTTGATGGGGAACAGGGGAAACCAATCAACCTGCCACTCAGGGGGAAAATGCTTGAGGAGGACCTCTGGAGGAGAAACTAAAAAAATTGTTAAATAAAGGCGGAAACTCCCAACATCTGGAAGTATCGTAAATCTTCGTAATGCAAAACCTTTTCTAAATTATGAAGCATAACACATACTCTACTATTAGCCTATATTACTATAGCTCATCTACTGTGTAGAAATTTGGGGCAACACCAACAACATCTATCAGATGTTGTCAGAATAATTATTAAGTCTGGATATCAAAACCATATCAAACATGTATTTATTACTGCTTGCCTTCTTTCTCTGTTCTGTGATGTGGTACAATTACTTACCTCACAATTTTATGTATGAACCTGTAAATAAAGCCTTACCAGAAGGCATAGAAGAACATTTTGTTGAGGGAGAAAGAGGGTATAATTACAGAGATAATCTACATTTCAAAATCTTCGAAGAAACATGAAAATAATGTGGATTACAATAAATGGAGTGATAGTATGGAACAGACTCACTGCTGAATCAAAGCAAAGATGTTCAAACTGGCTTTCCGAAAAAGATAAAAGTTAATATTCAGGTTGTTTCTGATGTGCTCTCTTCATCCTCGGATATGGGAGTTGGCTCGGAGCTCATCTGCCTGGCTGTGTGTTTCCTGGACCTGGCGCCTTTTACAGCTGCTTTTTGTATGTCTGCTTCTGTCTCCTTGAACCCCAATCGGCCTCGGCAGATGGCCGTTCACACTGATCCTTGTTCTGCTGGAGGTTTCTTCCTGTTAAAAGGGAGTTTTTCCTCTCCACTGTCGCTACAAGCATGCTTAGTGTGAGGGATTGCATTGGAGTCAATGAGTCGATGCAATCAACTGGTTTTCCTTAGATGATCTGGTGAAATGTAAAGGGCCTTGAGACGACGTGTTGTGAATTGGCGCTACATAAATAAACTGAATTGAATTTAAAAGCCATTATGACATTAGGCAATGAAACCTACCAGAGATAGTAGTTTTTTAGTCAGTTTTTATAGACATTAAAAAAAGTCAACAGAAATAAAGCACACACTTTTTCTCACTTGAGAGGTGGTGTTGTCCAGTTATATATACAGTACAGTTGGCCTTCATTGTTTACATACCCTCCCATTAATGACAATTACAAATTCTCACTAGTAATTCAGCTAACAAAAAAGGAAAAATTATTAATAAATAACGATGAATTAAATGCTAAATTAGTCAATTAAAACATTGATTTTGAATTTTTGCTTAGAAACAATAATTCTATACAAAGTAAAATCTTATGTATGTATGTATGTATGCATGAATTTATAAATTATATATATTGTTCTATATATATTAAATATTATATATATATTCTTTCCCCCCCTGCTCTACATATTGGATATTTAGTTATTCTTATTCAATAATGGCAAATGTTCCAAACTAGTGTTTATGTAGTTATGGCAGCAGGGCTCCAAGCTGTTGAAAACAGATAAATAGATTGCAATTACAGGAAAAACAATGTTTAAAACACACTCAAAAAAGGCTTTATTGCCTAAGACTGTGGAAAAAAAAACACCACAAAAAAAAAAACCTGACTAACCTGTCTACAAAATTCCTCCCATTCTTCTATACACAAGCCACTCCTGTACGTGACACAAGTTTTTTAGCTCCGTAGAACAGCAAAGTGTTCGACTTCGATTGGGTTGCATAAAACATATGTGAGTTTTCAATTTTTCTGCAAGTTTTGGATTTAGCTTGGCTGTGGTAAGTTTATATAGTATTAACAAAAACTTAAAAAATTCTGAATATCTTATTCAAAACCCTTTGAAAGAACTTCAGAAGGTATTTATCTCAACTGCATCTTGTTTGTTTCAATATGTAATTGTTAGAAGCAGTAAATGTTGTCTACAAATCAAGTTACTGTACAACTTAGAGGATCAAACAGCCTGACTGTTTCTGGTTCTGGTGTGCCAAAAGTGAAATTAGAGTTTTGGTTTCATCTTACATGAACCATGTTTTTTTTTTTTTTTAATGGCTCAAGGTAGCTGAATAATGTGTGATTCTGAATAAACAGCTAAAGCACCAGGATTAATGTAGAGGAAAAAATATGGTAATTACATATTATACATGATTTCAAGATTTCACATCAAGGCTGAATTACAAGTGCATGTCTCTTAATTGTCTAGTATTTTCCTATTTGCAAATTATGCATGCATGATGCCATATATTTTTATGCTGTCTCTGTACATTAGCTTTTAAAAATATTTGAGTTTCGGCAGGTCCTTGTTGAAAATTGCATCCCGTGTTGTTTTACAGAAATATACACTGGATGTAACATTTTCTTCATGCTTACACATTTGTTATGAGCTACCAGTGTGACTTTTTTTGTGACAATTTTTAGGTTAAAAAACAAGGGGGATGGTTTTTCGGCAGGTCCTTGCCAAAAATTGCATCCCGTGCTATCTCAGAGGAGTTGACACTTGTATGACTATATTCCTGTTTATCCATCAGTAGTTACAGGACAAGGGTCAGCAAATGCAAATTCTGCTCTGTAAAAAAATGACAGTGCAATTGTCCCTGTTTGATCTGAAGCCTCATTTGGAGCTTTTAAACAGGCTTTAAATAAAAAATTTAATAATTTGCTGCTGTAATATTATAGATTTTTTTAAATAAAAAGCTAGCAGACGTGCATAATCGAAAAATAACAGAAATACAACTAAAGAGCATTCAGTATTGTAAGAAATCCCACACTGTTTCTGAATAAATACATTGTTTTGTATTGTATGAGTTAAGTTTATGTCTCTTTCCTTGTAACATTGAAATGTCCCATGCTCCTGAATGCACCATAGCTATCTGACGCTCGCAAATGCATCACACTGGTCTGTGAATGCTGTGCGGTGTAGATGCGCGTCCGATTTTCCGCTTAAAACAAACCTGTGAGACTACAACAAATAAATCAGCCGCACCTCGGACAAAATCTTTCAATTTAATGTTGTTCATAACACCCTTACTTTCGTAAATGAATCTGCCAAATAATGACAAATTTTTCCCACGAGAGGTATATTTAAACGTTTTTATATCATTAATATAACAACAAGTAGCTCCATTGGTCAGAAACTGCCCTCCAAACAGACCGCAGCCTAATGGCTCCACCTAGAGGGAAAAACAGACTCTAGTACCCAACAATATGTTATGTTGTTTTATCATTTCCATCGTTGTATCTCTCTTTTTTATTATATTTTTTTCTGTTCTATTTACTTTTATTTGTATTTATTTTCATTCTGTCTTTTTATTTAGAACATTTTAGTAGACCACTTCAGCTTGGGATTCTATAAAGGTCGAAAAAGAGAAATCTATAGACTAATGAACTTTTTTGGTTCTTGCACTGTTGTTGCTGCTTGCAACTTTATAACTTTATTTGGGAGTAAAATACAAATTTATATAGCTCTTCATTAGTTACTTCTAGTGGTAAAGTTTCAGATATGAGAGATTTTTGTAATCAGAAAATAGTAAAAACAAGAAGAAACTATTAGCAAAACTCCAAGATAAATATGTCTAAGTAATTTCAAAACTAATAATCTGTTATTTATTTATTTTGTTTTCATAGGTTTGCCATGAGTCATTGTAAGGATAAAGATGAGGAAGAGCTTCCTTGTGCAAAGCCTTCTGGTGAGGAGCGGAGTGGAGTTAAAAGGTGAAGATGGCTCCCCATTCCATATATACACTTTTAAAAAATTGTTCAGAAAAAATGCAGACATCACTCTTGTCAAAAAAACACTTAAACTGAATTTGCATCTGGGGATTATTGATGAATGCATTGGTTTCATGAATAAACACTTGGGGGAGGGTAAAAATGTAAAATTCAGTAAAAATGACAATGGAGATGCTAAATGATTCTAAACATATTTAGGCATCTTGAGTATCAGCAAAACTCCAACTTAATGGCCATTTTCATTGTTTCCATACATCCGACTATTGACTCTACATGCAGCAACCAGTCAAAGACATTTAAGAATCAGTTTCCATGTGATCAGAGTTAAAATGTCAGGAACTTGTTCTAAAATTGCATTTGAATGTTTGTGTCAGGTTGGGTGGAGGGTTTTGAGGACCCAAATGCAAAGATACGAAGGCAGAAATGGAAAGTGGTGGCCTAGCGGTTAGGGCATTGAATCCAAAGGTTCTGAGTTCAAGCCCCACTCCCACAGAATGCAACTGTGGGTCCCTGAGCAAACCCCACAACGGCAACCCACTGATCCCCAAGGGGATTCTTGTGTCAGTGTAAATACCATAAAAGCTGAAAAAAGACAAGACATAAGTTTAGCTGACTCAACTGCGGTTCCAGAGGCAGAGAATTTATTCCAATTTTTAGGCTTTTGCAGAGTGCTTCTGATCTATTTACATTTATTTAACTGATTTACACACTTTGCCCGAAGATCTCAAAATCAATGATGGCCGGAAGTAATAAGTTTGAATTTAGACATCTAGCATTTACCAGCATTCCTGCACGCTCACTGTTAATATGACATCAATGTTATGATTGGGTTACCAAAAACAAAGTATACTAAACACCTTATGACAAAGGTTAAGTTAGAAATATGTTGGAATGATAATTTGCTAAAGTTGTGCTTGTTGAAAAATATGTCCAACAACATCTAAAAAAATGACTTATCTTGTTATCGCTTTTGTGTTAAAGTTGAATAATTTCTCTATGATTCAGGACAGAATTGCTGCAGAAAGACATCAATCCTGGTTCTAGCAGTGCGTCCTGCATCAGTGCTGGATCAAAGGACATTATTTCCAACTTTAAAGAAAGTAAACATATGTAAGTCATTAAGAA